CATCACTTTATCACAAATATTTTAAAAATATAAAATTGTTATATATGATGAAATGACATTACACATTTTAAAAAATTATATTATCTCGACATTTCTTAATTGATCAAAATAACATGATATGTTTCATCATATCATGTCACTTGATCATATCTCATTATATTAATATATATGATACGTTTTCTTATCATATAATCTGAATATTATTTTGATGAATCAAAATTGTATGATGTATTTTATCATATAATATATATTAAAAAAATTTCTCATAATTTGTAAAGGTAAATTTTTCAAAAAAAAAATTGTGAAGATCTTTTTATTAATTTTAAAAGTATAAAAAGAATAATTTTTTGGTCAAAATTTAAATCCCTAGTTACAAGAAAAATAATTTGTATTATATATTAATTTTTTTTTTTTTATCCTTTCACCATTTGTCCTTTGAAATCTCGAAGTTCATTACTATTATTTTGATCTTTACTGCAGTTTGGATTTTAAATAACTCATTCAGCGCTATATTAATACAAATTAAATATTGTTATTAATCGAAATTAATGTAAATATATCAATATATTCATTGTTACATTATTTTATATATTTCAAATTAATTATTGATATTCTATTTTTATAATAATTATTTATTTTTATAAAATATTAAAAAATTAAGATGATCATTTAAAGTTATTCAATTATCCTAAACACAAATTTGACCATCCAAAGCATCACTATTCTTGCCTTTCTAACCATGATTGCCGTTACCCTGTACCCCCATATTCAATGGAAATTATTGGAATTTAAAAGCTCTGGCCTGTGCATTGTAAAACGACGCCGTAACAGTATGAAAGAATGGCATTTTCGTCATTCTAAAAAGAATTCCCACGTTAAACATGAAACCCTATATAAATGAAAAGCCGCACCGGAGCTCTCCTTGTCGCCGAACACTTCCAAAATGAAGAATCGTTTAAAATCCGTAACCGTCCACGGTGCACCACTTCCCTCTCTCGCCAATAAAAGACGGTGGCTGCCGCCGTCTGTCAGTAAATCTCCCTCCGTACATCCACGTGGAGGTACACGTGTGCATGCTGTGGTCCCTATTCTCCACTCTTCTCCTTCCGCAGAGCCGGACCCCACGTCGCAGCTAAAATCCAGTTTTGGAATGGATTAAAATCCGCTAGGCCAACAGCGACTAATTCTACCCAATAAGTGGAAGCCACGTAGTACGGACTGTCTCTGTCATCAACACTAGATTATTTCCCTTCTTTCTCCTCGTTAAAAATACAAATTTGACTCTCGCTCTTTTTCTCTGTGCAATAATATTCCAATCTGTGAAGTCAAGTAGCAGAGCAGTAGTAGGCTTTGTGTTAACCATTACTTCTTCGTTTCTTGTTTTCCCTCCCCTGTACAATTATCTTTTCTGCTACTCGAACCTCTGCTTTTGGATACAACCTTCCAAAATTTCTATCTCTCTCTTGCAATCTTTTCTGTTTCGTTTCTTACTAAATTTATTTTTGAAGTTCCAACTGAGCTTTTGAGTGTGGTTGTCATGGACGGAGGCGCACAGTACAACCCGCGAACAGTAGAGGAGGTTTTCAGGGATTTCAAGGGCCGGAGAGCTGGCATGATAAAAGCCCTAACTACTGGTCTCTCCTACTTTCATTTCCTGCTCTCTTTTTTTTTACATTTTAAAAATTTGAAGTATCATTTTCTCTCTTTATTAAATTTTTTTAAGGATTTTATGGGTCTATATGTTATGTTTTTCGAATTTATTTCTTGTCTACAGTCTGATTTTCTTCTCCCTTGTGCAGATGTTGAAGAATTTTATCAGCAGTGCGACCCTGGTTAGGGTTTCTAACTGTCCTCGTCACATCTGTGCTCTCTCTCTCTCTCTCTTGAATTCGTGTACTTAATTAGTAGCTAAGTCCATAGTGTTTGTGCTCGGCCCTTTTGTTTTCTTCTACATATTTTGGTTATATCTTTAATGTGTACTGCTCGCTGACGAAGAACATAAGTAAACTTCTTGGTGTCGCTAAATCCTTTTCTTCTTTCTATCTTTCTTCTGAAAAAATGAAGACATTTTGCTTTCGACTTGTACTTTTTTTTTTATTTATTTTGAAATAGACTTGTACTTTCTATTTAAAAAAATTATACGCTAATATGGTTATACTATTGAATGCCGTAATTAATAGGTTGTATAGTGTGTTTTACTACCTTCTGTAGCAGCTCCATTTTTTCTATCGATTATTGATTGTAAGGCTTGCTGTTGGGTTCCACTCGTTATTACTTTATGAGGTAACCATTGGCAAGATAGAAATTACGTGCGTAGTAGTGTCATTTAGAGAACTGAAGGATACTTTTACTACCATGGCTCCTAAATTCTTGCCTTACTAGCTGAAAATAGTAGCAGCTCATTGCACGCCCTCTTGTAAAAGCAATTGCATGTTGTGCGTTTTTTGGTAAAATGACAGGAGTTCTTATCCTGCATTTAGTGTTGATTGGGGCATCTTGAGTTGATCACTGATTTTGTTTAGATTATGATGAATGATATTTCAAAAACGAAAATGCTTACCTACCAAATTGTCCCATGTTTTTTTTTCTCTTGTTACAATAAAGTTTTAAAAGCTTTTCATCCATCAAAACCCAACTACAAAGTGGTCTAAGGCATAGACCTGATTCCAGTTTATTTACTTTCATACAGGTATATCAACCATTCCTCTGAGTGTCAGGTTATTTTTCTCTTTTGCATATTACTAAGTCATATTTGATAGCATATCATCGTGAAATTTATTTTACCTACACGACAAAATTCGGTCTTGTACTTTTTTTTGTACCATCAGTTTTCAAGCAAGTACATATGATGATTTTTACTTAGTTATTGGAATGATAATTTTTATTTTTATTTTTTTTGCTAAGCTTACAATTGAAATTATAAGTTTTTTGGGCTTAACGAGTTTTAAATAATTGAATAACTGCTACCATCCTAGGCTGTTTTTCATATTGTATTTCCTGATTTATTTGTTCATCTCAGAAAAAGCCTCTAGCTCCGTCTCCATCATCAGTCCATTGCTTTTTGGATGTGGCAGATTTCTAAATATTAGGTAAACCTCATCAATAGTTTCGGGCCTCAGGGGGGTTAAAACAAGGAGACCCATTATATCCCTTCCTCTTCACATTGGTGGTGGATGTATTGAGATGAATGTTAATCAAGCAATGGAGAGGAATGGAGTGATAGGATTAACGGTAGAAGTGTCCCATCTTCAGTTTGCAGATGACACTATCATGTTTATACCACATAATAATAGATCCATTGGAAATGCTTTTACCATCCTGCAAGTTTTTGAATATATCAGGTCTTAAGATCAATCTGGTGAAAATCAGCTTAGCTGGGATGATTACCTTGATTTAGTCTTGTCTCTCTAGTATATCTTTGTACTTCCTGTCCCTTTTTAGAATTCCTGCAGGAGTGGATGGGAGATCAGAAAGAGGAATGAGAAATTTTGTATGACCAGGGCTGGAGAGAGGGATCACTTAGGGACCTGGGATACATGTATCCTACATAGATCCTCCGGTGGTTAGGTTTAGACATCTCAGATCTAAGAACCTATCATTATTGGCTAAGTGGCTCTGGCGCTTCCCTCAAGAACCAAACTCCCTATTGCTGAAGGTGATCAAAAGCATTTATGAGAGTGGAAGGGATGGGTGGAATGCATTACTTCAATAACCACCTGTCACCGAAGTCCTTGGAAAGCCATCTCTCAAGCTTACACATCTTTCGCCCCTCTTACCTGCATCCATCTAGGAGATGACTTTAGCGCCAAATTCTGATAAGATACTTGGGCAGGGAATAAACTGCTAGCCGCTTAGTTCCCACACCCATTCAACTTGTTCTTTGGACATGATATTCTTGTCTCAGAATTCATTTTGAACAATGAAGGTAACATTACCTGGATTTCCATGTCAGCTATAACCTTTTTGATAGGGAAGCTTCTGACATGGTAAACCTTCTAAGTTTCTTGGAGCCAATTAAACTGAATACCCAACCTGACATGAGGATATGGACCTTGGAACCTTCGGTTATATTTATATGCAAATTCTTTTTTGACTTCTTGTTTCCATACCAAATATACTCCACTTTACAAGGCCAAAAGTTCTGGAAATCTCCAGCTCTTTCCAAGGTCAGGGTGTTCGCGTGGACTGCTATCAATCAGAAGCGAAATATAAATGAGATGTTTCAAGTCTGCTGACCTCACCGAGCCTTGTCTCCATGCACATGTGTGATGTGTTTTGCAGGAGTAGAGACAAACTCACACCTGTTCTTGCACTGTGATACATCTTGGAGGTTCTGGACAAAATTGGTTAAGGCTTTTGGTTTATGTTGGGTGACCTCCCTGATGGTGGAGGTCTTTATGAGTTGTTTTTGAAGGAGGAGGGTCTACAGGCAGAGGCCTTACCCCAAGGGAAAGGTGCACTCTTTGATAGTTTTTGGAGCATTTGGCTTGTAAGGAATAATCAGATCTTTAATGACCAGATCACCTTTTTCCAAGGGCTGTGGAAAGAGCTACTTTTTTGGCTGCATTTTGGGTTAAGGTCCATGGATGTTATTCTACCATTAGCATCGGTAACCTGAATCGAAATTGAGAAGCTTTTATATTTAGGAGCTAGTTCTTTTGTTATATATGCATCGCTTTTCATGACTAGCTTGTGGAGGATGTTATTCTACCATGACTAGCTTTTGTTATGTATCCTATTTAGTTAGTTTTTATTATAGGTCACTCAAGTAATTAGCTTATTTTCTTATTTAATAAAATTCCTAGATAGACTTAAGAATTCGTATTTTGATTATATTTGGTACCTATAAATAGGGTTCCTATTTTAGTTATTTGGTATACCATTCATGCGGTTATTATATGAATACTAAGTTATTAATTTGATTATTAAAGTTTAGATCTTCAGTTTTAGTTTTTAATAAATTTTCTTAAGTATTGTGCTCAAACTTTCTTTCTCCTGTATCATTATATACGTATGTTTATCTGCATAAATAGAAAGCAATGTATATATTTTTATGTATGTAGAAGCATGCATGTATTTATATGTACATATAGGTATATATGTATGTGCACGAATGATACTCAATTGCAAACAATATTTTATTAACACAAAATATTTTCTTATTTAATTCATGTCATGTTTTTACTTTTATTTTCGAATAATTTATTAAAATGTAAACACATGTGAGAAAATGAAACCTATAAAATATTTCATGTACCAAATGGAGCCTTAATTTTTTTATTTGTTGTCACGAGTAAATGCCAAAAATTACATTAAACACTTTCATCACAAAATTTAGTGCTTGATAGGAGGTTGTCAGTGCTCTTCAATTATTATCTTTCTCCCGCGTATGCATTGGTATATGGTGCTTTGTAATCATCAACAAAAACTTTAGCTTGTCATTCAATGGTTATTGTGCTTGACTGCATGTTTTATCTTTCAGAGAAGGAAAATCTTTGCTTGTATGGATACCCTAATGAACAGTGGGAAGTTAATTTACCTGCTGAAGAAGTGCCTCCGGAGCTCCCAGAGCCTGCTTTGGGTATCAACTTTGCCAGAGATGGGATGCAGGAAAAGGACTGGTTGTCCTTAGTTGCTGTTCACAGTGATGCTTGGTTGCTTGCAGTGGCTTTCTACTTTGGTGCTAGATTTGGTTTTGATAAAGCTGACCGGTATATTTTCTCATCTACATGCTCTTAGTTTTGCTTCCAACCTTTGTCCAAATCCTTTGCTGAACCATAAACTTCCCCAAGGTTTCACCTCTTTTTCCTTCAAAGAAATGTATTCTACTTAATATGATCTACCTCAACTTGAAAGGTCTTTTTTGGTTAAAAATTACATTGTTGGTGGTCGAATGCATACTCAGTGTTTCATCATCAATCTAATAACATGCATTGCTGATGCAGAAAGCGACTCTTCAACATGATAAATGATCTCCCGACAATATTTGAAGTAGTTACCGGAAGTGCAAAGAAGCAGGCTAAGGAAAAATCATCAGTTTCAAATCATAGCAGTAACAAATCCAAATCAAGTTCAAAAGGGGTAATTTTTTTATAATTTTCTTTCTTATGTTAAATAAAAAAAATGAAAATCTGTTCATGTTGCCAATGATGAAATCGCATGGATGTGATGACTTAGCCTTTGATTATTAGATTACTCAAGAATTTTAATGTTATTCAGAGTGGCCATTTTTCTATTTGAATTTCTTAAACCTTACTGATCACAAATGTATTGTACAGTTTCAATCCTATTTATTGGGTTTACCATAGGGTCAAATAGAACACTTACATTTGTTATGCATAACATGGAGTCCTTTTCACCTCTTATGGTCTCCCACTTAATGTTTGTTGTGGATATCAAGACTTTGTTATATATATGCACTTTTTATCCTTGTTTGACTGGCAGCATGTGACTGTTAATGTACTGTATGCTTGTCTGTCTCATTTGCATTAGCCAACTCTAAGTTTTTATTCTTTTTTTTCTTTGGAGCTTTCTTTTCTAAAGACAGATATTTAGAGTAGAAGCTTCTAAATAGTTGGCGTCATAACATTTGGTTGGCTAGATCTGATTTAACAACTTGAAAAGTACAGTAATCTGGTTTACATATAGGTTGAGACAGAAGCAATTCTGAGAGTCCAGGTACTGGTGTTGATAGCTCTTCTTGTTTGGTTGGCAGGGGATTGAAGGTAGTAATGATTAGACTATTAGCTTTGCACTTCAGTTTAATATGAGATTTTGCTACAAATCACAAAAAAATTCCAACTGAAAAAGCCTCCTTTTAAAAAACAAGCAGTCTCTTATTTTTGGAACATCAAGAATCAATTTTGGAGCAGTGATCTACAATTGAAAGTTGTCCGCATGATTCATGAAAGGAAGATTTAAAATTCCTCACATGGTTATTGATGGTAATTCCTGTTTGTAGTAATTTTTTTCATTCTTTTTCATCCCCCTTTTCCTCTTGGTTTCTGCTGGTGTATTTAAGTGGTTACTTTGTCTGCTGCTAATTAGGCCTTGTTTTCTGAATGGGTGGTCCAATCTGCTATCTAGGCTATGTGGTCTACCTGCTTCTCTTTAAATGTTCTGCCTTTAGTCTTGTACTAGTAAAGTCAGTCTACTGGTTTGCATCTTCTGGCTTTTTTTTCCGCTTAAACTATTGGACTCAGGAAAAGGATGATCTCGTCAAGTATATTTGGTCTGGTCAAGCCATACAAAATTTCTTGTCTGAAATTTTCTTTTGTGGATATGAGAACAGCGAGGTTCGGAATCTGGAAAATATTCAAAGAATTTGCAGTCTAAGGACGAGGATGAGGGATTGGACGAGGAGGAGGAGGAGGAGCATGGGGAAACCTTGTGTGGGGCATGTGGAGAGAACTATGCATCTGATGAGTTTTGGATTTGTTGTGACATATGCGAGAAGTGGTTTCATGGCAAGTGCGTGAAGATCACTCCTGCCAGGGCTGAGCACATCAAGCAATACAAATGCCCGTCATGCAGCAACAAGAGAGCTCGGCCTTGAGAGAATTGATGGGTGACTCATCGCCTCTTGTATTTTCCTGTAGCTCGAATCTAACTATTTAGTTGGTAAGTTTTTTACTGTTGTGTCATGTCAGTCAGCATGCCATGTGTAATTTGGTATGGTAGAATGTCATTTAGCTAGTAGCATTTAGTAGTTTGCTCTGGACTTGTTTCCCATTTGATTATGGTGGTTCCGTAGTTCCCACTGTAGAAAATGTTTCCATATTGCAGAATGCTCTAATTTATTCAGTTCTCCGCCTGATCATCAATTGTTGAAATATGGAGCATGCTGCCATGTGCTGGACGTTCCTGCTTGTGTTGTAATTCTGAAATGCGTCTGTGAATTTCTGTTGTGATTCTTTGGTTGAGTTTTAGGTCTTATATGTATACCATTTTCAATTTGTAATTTGTGATGCATGCTACTGGGGAAGTCGCACCCTTCATCAACTTCCTCCATTTTTGGTACTGCGTCTTGTGGAAATTTCATCAGTTGAGGTAACTGAAACCTGGAAGATGGTAACTACCAATTTCTGAAAACTGAGCAAGTAGAGATGAGATTGCTCCTTTTTGACATGCCATGAATGTACTATGATTTGGAAAGAAAAAAGAAAAGAAATTCCAAAGGAGCAATAAGCTAGATTAAAATGGTGAGCTTCAATGTAGAGATAAGTAGCCCTGGCGCCAAAGTTTGATCTGGAAGCTTAGGCAGGGCCACCATGTGTTTGGATTGCCATAGTTAAAAAGGATGGCTTAATGTTGCAAGTTTAGCTTCTCGTTAATTCCCATTCAGTTGTTTTTAGCTGCTTAAACACGGCTATATTATCTATATTTTGTATTTTAATTATTTAGAATGCAATTTAATTATTTAAATCCTTCCTTTTCTTTTCTATATACCTGTCGTGTTAAAAATTTACAGGAAATTGCCCAGCCGTTGTTTAAACACAATCAATTTTCAAGTATAACAACACAAAAATATTTAGAGAAATTTCTGAGAATCTCTACCTTATAACTCTATATAAATTTGTATTTCTTGTGGAATACTTATAGACTTATACTCTGTTTCATTGTATTACTGAGTGAGGTTTTTAATCTTATCGTACCCAATATGTGAGGAAAAAAAAAATTAACAATGGAAAGAGTAAACCAGCAACCATTTTAGGTTTAATAACCATTTAAGAGTAAGAGTTAAATAAACACTACTCATGTTAATAATGTTGTAAATCCTTAAGAAATGAGCAAGTATTACTTATTTGGCTAATATTTTGATAATTATTTATTGTTTATAATTTTTTCAAATTACTATATCTTTAGCGTTATTATCATTATTATTATTAATACTGCTGTGAGTTTTATTTTCATTATCATTGTTACTATCCGACTTTACCACCACATCCTACTTGCATTGCAAGTATTGTTGCTATTACAATTTTATTACAAGATATTAGTAGGAATAAATACCTAAAGTGAATAGGTGCTTTAACTTGTTATATAAATAATATAAAGAAAATCATAGTTCGATTCCGACTAATATATGTTTAATATTTTGACTACCTCTAGTTAATTGTAAACTTCAACTATAATATGTTAGACAATATATTTTTACGGTATAAACATTACAAACAAAAGGTATCTATTCGTTCAATTGCTAAAACACAACGAAAGAACAAACTCCTATAAACACTACCCATTAACCATAGTCTCACAAATCTTCCCTTCTTGTAAGAGGTGCTGTAACGGCTCCGGAAATTAAAAGGAAATGTATATATTTATTATCAGTGCAGAAGCGAAATAAAATAGATTATGATTAACATCCCTTACACAATAATCCAAACGTACTAAACGCATGAAAGGATAAACTAATTAAAGGAAATACTAGAGATGAATGTTATAAATAAAACTATGAAATCTTTAGGCTTCTACTCGCCGTCTTCCTGCGGAACGGACTCGGAAACCAAGTCCTCCTGATCTGAAATGGTTAAGTAAGGAATGAACTACACTAGCCCAGTAAAGATGTCACACTATCTCACTGTCATAGTAGTAAAGGTTGGTAGAAAACAAAAACGACCAATGGAGCAGAATTTATAAACAATTCATTTATCAATAATAAAACCCTTTACTGTCCACTTACCTCGGTGAGATTCATGAAAACAACTTACGAGAAACAATAACATCATAAATATCATAAGATCATGCACACTCTATAACATAACACATATCATACTTTTGTATTTCAATCATCAGGTAACAAATTTCCTCTTTTATCAGTCTACTAGTATCCATGGGGATCCATAGAGGGTTCTCGCTATACGTGAACCATTCACATTAATAACTTAATTTTAGGACCCCCATACCCCGTCCGGTATGGGCACCAAAACCATAAACTTCAATACCCCGTTCGGTATGAGAGATCACGTTCTCGGTAGGGTTCCCTATGAACTCGATCCGTCAACCATCTCTCAGGATATCTAGTTAGGCTGTCGACATTATCCATTTATCAATTCACATACATTTTTCCATGTTTCTTAATCTCAATTATCCAATCAAACATAAACACATAAATCAGTAATGAACACAACATCGGGTTCACAATAATTCAAACCATAATAAATGAAACCATGATTCATGCATACGAAACCATATAATAAATACATCAGGCACCATACTACATTCAAAACTGTAAAATAAATCAAACAACACTTGACCGAAAAATACATTAGATTCGGACTCCATTAGCAATCTTAATTAATTATACATATATATTAATTCATAAAATATCGATTTATCATTTATTAAGCTTTAATGCTGTGATAGGAAATAGGATGAGGGATCCTTACTTGTTTCGGAGTTTGAAATCGGGTTCTGATTGCGCCTACGGGCAGTCCCTAGATTCCTTAAATTTTTTTTCCGGAAACTGAAACACACTTCCAGTACCTGCATATGTCCCAAAAAAAATCCTAAATCAGACCCAGGGCCTTTTCGACCAATTTCAAAATTCCGGCACAGCGGCTCCGCCGTGTTCCGGCGAGGGCGCCGCCGCCCACAGCGGCAATCCGCCTCAGGTTGGCCGTTTTCGGCCGAATTCGGCCAAATTTGCATTGGTTCCTGTGATAAAACACCCCTAGGGTTTTCGGTAGGCCAAAAAATTACAAAAAACCGAGACTTATTGACGGCGGAGCTCTCGTGTAGCACCCGGAAAGGAGGAGAAGAAAAAAAAAAAAAAAAAAAAAAAAAAAGGCGGCCACGTCAGCAGCCACGTCAGCAGGCCCGGTCAGCAGTCCCGGCCAACCAGGGCCTGCCACGTGGCAAGACCGCGTCACTCCAAAAGGAGCCACGTTGGCGATCCGCGTGGGTGCGATCCGACGGCCCAGATCAATCACGCGATCGGACGGCCCAGATTCAATCGCACGGACGGCCCAGATTCAATCAAAAACGAACGGCCCAGATTAAAACAAAATGAACGGCTGTGATCAAAAGGCAAGGGGTTATAAATAGAACCTCCACACCAGACCACAAACCCTAGCCGCCAGCCGCTCGCCGGAGAAGACGAACCAGAGGCCGACCGCCGCCACCTGCCGCCACTCGCCGCCGCACCGGGGAAATTTCCGACCGCCGATCGAGGTAAATTTCATACCCCCGACTCGTTTTTCCCCACTGATTCCTCCTATGGCCAAATCGAAGCCGAAATCCCGGCCAAACGGCCGGAATACGCGGCCGAAGCCCAGCGGCGCCGCCGCGCCCCCTCTCGGTTTTTGCCTCCGACGAGGCCCTTCCCGGCCTCCGTTCGATGCAATTTTTATATCACCGTGATCACCATTCTTTTCTCTACAGGTTGACCGGAGCCGAATCACCAAAACACGAACCTCGCCGGAGAGTCGCCGCACCCGAGAGCGCCGCCGCCGGTAAGCTCCGTTTTTCCGTGATTTTTTGGCCCCCCGAGGGCCCTAAGGTTGTTTTCTGACAAGGACCAATGCGAGTGTGGCCGAATTCGGCCGAAAACGGCCAAAAACAGCCAACCCGAGGCGACTCGCCGCCGCCAGCGGCGGCGCCGTCGCCGGAGCACGGCGGAGCCGCCTTGCCGGAGTTGCGATTTGGGCCGAAAGAGGCCCTGGGCCTAATTTGGATTTTTTTTGGAACACGTGCAGGTACTGTTAGTGTGTTTCAGTTCCCCGGGAAAAATTCAGGGAAAATTAGGGACAGCCTGCAGGCGCACTGTGAATCGTATTCGGATCCCGAAAACAAGTAAGGACCCCTCACCCTATTTCCTATCACGGTATTAAAGTTCAAAATGATAAAACGGTATTTCTTGAATTAACGCATGTGTGAAATTGCTTAAGGTTGTTAATGGAGCCCGAGTCTAGTGTGATTGATGATTTACTGTTATTTGGCCTGTTTTACAGCTTTAAATGCATTATGGGGTTTGATGTGTTCATTTTATAGTTTCGAATGCATATATTACTGTTTCATTAATTATGGGTTGAATGACTGAAGAACTGATACTGTATGTTGTCTGTTCGGCATGAATTACGATTTGCTTGTTTAAATGTGAATTGATGATGCTTATTGAGGAAAAAGGGAAATGAAACATTGTATAGACTGATAATTGTATGATGGGGTCAGCCTGACTAGATATCCTGGGAGATGGTGGACGGACCGGGTCCGTAGGGAACCCTACCGGGATTGTGGTCTCACATGCCGGACGGGGTATGGAGATCTTATGGTTTTGGCGCCCATACCGGACGGGGTATGGGGACGGCCCGTTTCACCCTCATACCGGACGGGGTATTGAGGTTTATGGTTTTGGCGCCCATACCGGACGGGGTATGGGGACGGCCCGTTTCACCCTCATACCGGACGGGGTATTGAGGTTTATGGTTTTGGCGCCCATACCGGACGGGGTATGGGGACGGTCCTGGAAACTGATTATGAATGTTAAAGGTTAACGGGTAGCGGAACCCCTATGGACCCCCACGGATACTAGTAGGCTGGTAAATGAGAAAAAGATATGTTGTACAATGATTGAATTACAAGAGGCGTAATAAGTGTTATGTTTTACAGCTTAGATTATTCAATGATTATGATGATGTTATTGTGTTTCTCATATTGTTTTCATAAATTCCACCAAGGTAAGTGGATGGTAAAGGTTTTCATGTTAATAAACGAGTTTATTGTAAATTGTGCTCCATTGGTCTTTTTGTGTTTTTCTACCCACCTTTACCTCCGTGACGGTGAGATATCGTGATGTTCTTACTGGGCTAGTGTAGCTCACTCCTTATTTAACCATTTCAGATCAGGAAGACATGGTTCCCGAGCCCGTTCCGCAGGAGGACGACGAAGGGGATACCTAGAGACTCTGTAGTCATACTCATAGTTTTATTTTCGAGTTTCTCTCTTAGTTAGTTTAATCTTTTATATTTTAAGTACGTTTCTGGTTTTTCGTGTAAGGGATGTTAACTGAAATTTTGATCCCGCTTCCGCATTTGATATATTTAAATACTCATTTCATTTTAATATTTCCGGGGCCGTTACAGTTGGTATCAGAGCTGCATTTCCTCGGACCCATCCCTTACACTATAGTCCTTTAAAGAAATACTCACCGATTGGTCGTTACTCAACCATTCCTTGTAAATGCAGGTACACAGAAATGAGGAGAGGAAGGCCCCCACTAAACCGAGCGGCCCAAGATAATTCGCTTCGGGAGGATTTGGACAGATTATATGAGATGGTGGAAGCTCTCGTAGCTGCCCAGCGAAGGCAAGATGAGAGAAGGGAGTTACCCGGACCTC